GGAAAGGGCCGTCAATCCGCGGAAAAGAATCTCTTCGCCCCGGCGCGCTCCTAACGAAGTTCCCTTTTGTCAAGTGCAGTCCTTCCTGCGGCTTTGCCGCGGAATTACGAGCTTTGAATTTTCCGCAAAAGACAGGTGCCACGGACGGTGCTCTTCCCGCGGAGCCATTTCGCCCACGTACCGTGCACCAAATGAACCCGACAACGAGGGTCGACTTTCAAATCCCCGAAAGCAGCTCCCGCGTTTTCCCCGCCAACGACGTGACCAAGGGTCTTCCTTCCATCGACCGACGCGTTTCTTTTCTTTCCAGGATCGACGGAGGCGGACTCGCGTCTCTCCTTCGACGTCCCGGATCAATTGAGAGGGACAGTCGGGTAATTGGAGCAACCGTGGAGGCTCCTGCAACCGGCAACCGTCGTCCATCGGCTTAATCGCTCTTCTCTCTGTAGTCGCGATTAAGGGAGACAGAAAGCAATTTGGTTAACGCCAATTACCTCGGAGTGGCTCATCGGGCATACTCTAGAGAAAATACGACACGACGAGTCTCGTCGTCCCCCAGAATGACCCACCCCCGACGTCTAGGATTCTAATCAGGAATACCGGACTCCTGGAAGAAGTAGCCACTTTGCGCTCGCGAATTCGCCTCGTTAAGGTGAAGTGAAACCCCCTTCAAATCAGTCGATTCGAGTACAATACTTTTTTTAAGGTGAAGTGGAACCCCCTTCAAATCAGTCGATTCGAATACAACACTTTTTTTTAAGGTGAAGTGGAACCCCCTTCAAATCAGTCGATTCGAGTACAACACTTTTTTTAAGGGTATTGAACCAAACTATCCGAAACTTTGACATATGACTCGTGATCATCTAATTGTAAGAATTGTCCTGATACATTAAAAATTTGGATTTTTTAAAATAATTTTCTAACGTAACCCAGAGCAGAATCAAAATGGCGTCGAGCTCTCATATTTCAATCAATATATAATTATTGAAGGCTCCGATATGAGAAACGAAAGGGTCAGGACAATTTTATGACAATTTAGAACACTCAGGTAATCGATAAACTCGCATTTGAACGGGATAAAGGCGAAACAAGTATTTTATGCGCTTCTATGCCAAAACAATGGAAATACGAGGTCTCAGAGTGAAAATTTAATGGACCTGGAAATCACAGATGGCGCAGGGGGTCCCTCTGAAGCCAATTAGGGCCCCAGAAAGCATGAATCTGGAGGATTTCTGGAGTTTTACTTCGATTTTTTTGCCATTATGGTACGAAAACGACAAGTGAAGTATGCCATTTAGCGCAATACCCAATACAATTCGACCCAGCCGTCAATATAGAAACGAACGTCGGCAACGGAGGCATTTATAAAAATCTTCTTTATCGACATCGATCGAGTTCTTCGACGTGTTTCATTTCACCTTAAATTCCCTCTTTTTTCATTTTTTATCGTCAGAGACACAATCCCTAGAATCGACGTCTTCTAGGGCTTTCGACCCTACCGGGACAGCTCGTTTCGGCCTCGGAGGACGTAATTAGAATATAAATTGACGTTTTACTCGGGAACGTTTGGAATGCGCGCGATGCATCAGGGCCGAGGACGGCTCGTCCGGAATGCGTGAACGGACGGATCAAGTAATGAGGTTTGCGTTATATCCGCTGGATTTAATTGCTCTCTGGTGGTTCGTGGAAATCCCCGCGAAAAATACAAACACCGAGAGTCGGGCTCGAGTGAACGGGGCGCATTGTCGAGATGCAATTTGCGGCAATGCGCTGGAAAACGCTCCTTGGCATTGGTTAACCTCGATTTCATATTTTTACCGGCCAATGCTTTCGGTGGATATTCCCTCGCGGCTGCAATCAATCATACTGGTATTGGCTCCAGACCAGTACTATTAGTTTGTACTCCCACGGGCCACCTCAAACTCGGACCGACTGATTGTTGCCGGAGGTACTCAGCTTAGTGACGGAAATAATACGTCGCGATCAGTATCGATTCCTAACGGTAAAATATCAATATCTTAAAAGCGTTTTGCAAGGGCATCTACCCCGTGTGTACACTTTTTCTACACTTTCTACCCTCGATCCCGAGCGAGGGCAAGAAGCGTAGCCCGCGAATTTGGCGGCAAATTTCAAAATTGATAAGACCAACAAACAGGAAAATACAAAATTTATACTAACGTCTCAACGTAAGATAAACAGAAGTAATTATTAATGCATCTTCTTCGTGTATAGAACGATTTAGCGTTTTAGTTTTGTACGTAATGTATGAAACAATTTATAATAATTACGTATTACTACGAAACCGCGGTCTTTCTAACTAAGACTTCTTTTCGTAATCTCCGAAAGTACTTATATTGATAAAAGTCTATGTAAATTTACATGCATTTCTGCACGCCTAATAAGTGAAGTTTCACGTACAAAAACGAAGAGTGGAGAAACTACAAATTAGACAATGCATAAATATGCTTAACATGGCATTTTTACTTGAATTAATTGCGACATTGCGATATAATTTTAATCGACATCGATACAGAAGATTTTTATAAATACCTATGTTGCCGACGTTGGTTTTTATATTGACAGCTGGATGGAATTAGATTGGGTATTGCACTAAATGGCATACTCCACCTGTCGTTTTCGTACAATAATTATGAAGAAATCGAAGTAAAACTCCAGAAATACTCTGCATTCATGCTTTCTAAGGCTCTAATTGACTGCAGAGGGACCCCCTGCGCCATCTGTGTTTTCCAGGTCAGTTTAATTTTCACTCCGAGACCTCGTATTTCCATCGTTTTGGCATAGAAGCGCATACAACACTTTTTTGCCTGTATTCCGTTCAAATGTGAGTTTATCGATTACCAGAGTGTTCTAAATTGTCATAAAATTGTCCTGACCCTTTCGTTTTTCATATCGGAGCCTTCGATAATTGTATATTGATCGAAATATGAGAGCTCGACGCCATTTTGATTCTGGTCTGGACTAAGTTAAAAGATGTTTTGGAAAAACCCGAATTTTGAATGTGTCAGGACAATTGTTAGATGATCACGAGTCATGTGTAAAAGTTTCAGTTTGGTCCAATATCCTTGAAAAAAAGTGTTGTATTCGAATCGACTGAGTTGAAGGGGGTTTCACTCCACCTTTACCCTGGGGATCGGCCGTTGCTTTTATCAATATATCATTTCACGTTAGGCCGAAATTAGTGCACCCGATAATAAATGGTTCTGTTTTCGAGCCGAGGGTGTGACGCGAGGAGCTGACGGATCCTTTTACGAGCTCCTGGAAAATGTCGAATATAAATTGGCAGCGAAACTGCGGGAAGGGTGGTTATTTCCTGGCGGCGATTCCAGGGCCTCTCTTATATCTCCCATTGGAGAACACTCGCGAGTCGCGCAATTCGATTCCGGATCCCCTTGGGAAATAGTCCTTGATGTAACGATACGACGTGAGAGCAACCTTTAGATCGAGCAGTCCTGGAGAGGTTTTGATCTCGCGTGACGAAAAGAAGTCCTCATCGGGTTGATAAATCAATTCTCCCCCTTCCCCGCGCCCTCCAATCGGAACATATTTAACTCGAACCGGCATTTATGTAGTGTCAGTGCCCTGTGCGATCCAATAAAGTTAATAGAATAAAAAAAAAAGATGAAAGCGTTTAGCTATACGAATAGTTGTGTCGCCAATAAGGCAATAAAGATTAAGAATTAGACTAAATAGAAGTTAGAGTGAAATGTAATGTTTGTATGATTGTGGGGTGAAGTGAGAAGTATTTAGATTAAATGTGCTCATAATTATGAAAGTGGTCTAAGTCATATATTTTTTGTTTCGAAATTACATTGAATTAATTTCGTTTGAAATAATATGGCGTGAAATAACTGATAAACTCATTTTTTTTTAATTTTGACTTAGACTACTTTCATAATTATGGGCACAAATGACAGCTCGATAGGTGATACCGTTTATGCGTGGTTGAGAGTTCGTGAAGTGCGAGCGGCCGTGAGTGAGAATTTTGACGCACAAAGAAATGTATCGATGAGTGTGGGAATGAGAGAGTGAGGAATATGAATTGAGTGAGAAAGAAATTAGAGTGAGGCTGGATGAGAATGATCGAATGAGAGTTAATTCTGACTGAGGAGAGCTCGAGCGAAGTCGGAGGGAAAGTCAAGTCCCTTTTTCTGAGATCTTTAAGACGTACTCTTCAATGTATTCGATTTCGTTATATTAATTTTTTTTATTAATAATCCAACCGTTCATGTTAATCCTGACACTTGAAATTTGATCCTACATTTATTATACACGTCCTCCGTACAATTGTTTCCGAGACGTCCTAGGCGTGGTTGCGCCATACAAAATAATTGCCGATCGATGGTATTTGCATTTCTTCGATCGACCGTCGCCACGAATTGCACCGACGCGATGCCTCGTTCGTCTTCATTCCGGCGAATTTCGCTCGAATTTCCCCCGAAGCGACGAATCGACTGCGTTTTTCATCCCACCCCGTTTGCCCCGCAACAAGACGCGCCGGAAACTACGGAAAGGGACAAGCCATCCCCTCGGTCTCCTTGCCCTGAAAAATGGAATCCATTGAAGCAAAGAGATATTCCTCCGAGTAGTCCCAATGAAATATTTCATAAATTCATTTGGGATAATTATATTTTACCCGAGTACCCTGAAATAAGTCGCCGCGATTCCTTGGAAAGGGCTCGTCCAATTTATTCGGGTTTATTCGAGTCAGATAATTATTCCTTGAATTTACAAAATGTTTCCTTAGGTACCATTCAATTGTATTCTCCGGTTCGATGGGATTCCTTCTCGTTGCGTCGACTCGCACGTCCCGGAAGCTTCCCGCTTGGGACTTCCTTCCGGCTCGTTACTTCCGTCCCTTTTTCCTCATCCTCGAGTCCGCACCCTCCCTCGGGAAGTTCCTCCAGCCCAGGGTAGAATTTTAATCGCAAATTCCGCGGGGTTTTTCTGGCTCATCCCTCAAGGCCACCGCTCGAACTTACCCTGGCGCGGCGTCGACCTCAGAGAGCGGCATCGTCCTCGAGGTCCTTGGAATTAGGGCTGGTGGAAATTTTAACCGCGCCGACCGTCGACAGTTCCAGATGATTCGCCTTGGTCGACTGACTCAGAAGAAGACTCTCCTGAACGGTGTCGGTCCCATTCGGAGCAGGCCTCCTCAGGAAGCAGGGTAAGACCTTTCGAAGGTAGAAAACCAATGAAAGAAGGCCGAAAAGCCGAAAAACCATGACGAAGTGAGGCCGCCGCCATTCCAAGGACGCAAAACAAAATGGCGGGCGCAAATCGCCCCGGATTTCCACCCTGGGAGGAATTCGAAGCGCGTCGAGCAGTCGAAAGGACGCAATTCTGGTGCATCCGAAGAGGAGGGAGGAATTCGTAGCTCGTCGAGGAGTCGAAAGGACGCAATTCTGGTGCATCCGAAGAGGAGGGAGGAATTCGAAGCTCGTCGAGGAGTCGAAAGGACGCAGTTCTGGTACATCCGAAGAGGAGGGAGGAATTCGAAGCGCGTCGAGGAGTCGAAAGGATGCAATTTTGGTACATCCGAAGAGGAGGGAGGAATTCGAAGCGCGTCGAGGAGTCGAAAGGACGCAATTCTGGTACATCCGAAGAAGAGGGAGGAATTCGTAGCTCGTCGAGGAGTCGAAAGGACGCAATTATGGTACATCCGAAGAGGAGGGAGGAATTCGAAGCCCGTCGAGGAGTCGAAAGGACGCAATTCTGGTACATCCGAAGAAGAGGGAGGAATTCGTAGCTCGTTGAAGAGTCGAAAGGACGCAATTCTGGTACATCCGAAGAGGAGGGAGGAATTCGAAGCTCGTCGAGGAGTCGAAAGGACGCAATTCTGGTACATCCGAAGAGGAGGGAGCGAAAGGCGTCCCCACTAATTAGGTGTGCATTTCAGGTCGGCGACCAGCGAAAGGGGCTCGTTACCCGAGGAGTCTCCCAGCGAGGAGGAGACGCCGCTAGTCTAAGGTGGGCGAGATAATCCGGCACGCACCTGTTTGAACTCCTTGCGGAAGTTGTCGTTAAGCCAGGCGTAGAGGAAGGGGTTGTAGCAGGTGCTGCTCATGGCGAGGCAATGGCTGGCGAAGAAGACGAGGTTGTAGTAGGACCACTCGTTGGCAGAGGAGAAGTAGTCGTTGACGACGTTGGCGACGTTGAGGGGGAGCCAGGAGATGCCGAAGATGACGACCATGGCGACGAGCATGCGGTTGGTGCGGCGTTTCCGCTCGCGGTCGGCCTCCTCTCTACGTCCGCTCTTATTTCCAGGTCGAGACCTGGCCTGGACCCTGAGCCGCAGGGAGACGCAGGTGTAGCAGAAGCTGATGGCGACGAAAGGTAGGACGAATTGCAGGAGGAGGTTCAGAGAGCCGACGGCCTTGCGGAAGGGCTCGCTGGGCCAGGCCTCCTCGCAGACGGCGTGGGAACCTTCCAGACGAAGGCTCATGAAGAGGCCGTAGGGCAACGTCAAGAGAAGGCCCACCACCCAGATGCCGAAGATGACCGCCAGGCACACCCCCACCTTCATCCTCGGCCGGTACGGGTACAGGATAACCAGGTACCGGTCCACGGCGATGCTGGTCAGCGTCAGGGTGCTGATGTACACGCTGACGCACTGCGCGTAGGTCACCAGGTGGCACAGGAACCTGCCGAACACCCAGCCCTCCAGGAACTTGTAGAGCGGGGTGAACGGCACGCACAGGGCGCACAACAAAACGTCGCTCAAGGCCAGGTTCGCGATGAAGAGGTTCGTCACCGTCTGCATCTGCCGGTTGCGAGCCACCACGAAGCACACGGCCACGTTGCCGAAGATCCCCAGCAGGAAGATCGTCAAGTACAGCCCGGAGAAGATCACCTTCGCGGGGAGGTACTTGGTGGGGTCCTCGAAGTCGACCGAGTCCACCTCCGAGTCGTTCATGTCTTCGACGATTTCCCTTTTTCGCCTGGAGAACGATAACTCTTCCGGTCCCAGGAACTCGGAGTTCACGACCTCGAAGGGTGTTCTCGAGGGCGCTTCAAATTCGAGAATCGGGGGGCTTTTGGCAAATTAGGGTCTCTCATCCTGGAGATAGAAACCCCTAATCGGGGCGGAATCCCTCGGAGAGCTACCAGGAGGTCCTTGGGAGGAGACCTCTGGGTTACCTCGACGTCGACGCGACTTTCTTCGGGGAGCTCGCCAGGTTTTCAAATTCACTCGACGCGGTTGGATTTACAAGCGAGTCCGCCCGTAACTCTTGCGAACTTAGTTACCCCGTAAATCACTCAATCCCGTTTAATTAATGTTTCGGAGTGAGAGCTTCTGCCCGGATTCGGGCGAATTTACGAGCGCCGTTTCCATCGGAAGGTTCCCGTAATCGACGTCCCTTCCTGGAGATCCGAAACTCGATCCTCGGCTTTTGGCGAGCACCTTCCGCGTCGGTTTTCCGACTCTTGAGAACTTGACCTTCCTTCCTTTTTTTCGAGGCGAGCGATTCTCGCGGAATTTCCGCTCGCGGCCACCAGTGGACGGAAATAGTCCTCCGAAGAGGACCCGGACCGGCGATGGCACGTGTCGTTTCGGGAACCTCGTTTTAGGACGCCGAGATGGCACGTGTTCCGAGGGAATCGCTTTAGGAGGCCAGTGATAACGCGGGTAGTTCTGGAAAAATCGTTTTAGGAGGCCCGCGATAACGCGGCTCGTTTTCAGAGGATCGTTTCGGGAAGTTCAAGATGGCACGTTTCCTTTTGAAGAATTGTTTTATCAGACCCAAGATGGCAATATGTCCTGAGAAAATCGTATCATCAGACTCAAGATAGCGCGTATCCTTTTTAAAGAATCGCTTTGAAAGGCCAAAGATAGCACGCGTCCTTTTAAAAAAGTCGTCTTATCACGCCCAAGATGACCTTTTCAGACGATTCCGCTTTAGGTATAGTTTATAGTTAATAGTTAATAGTCCGTAGCTTCGGGTCCTCTCTCGCGTCCACCTGTCGATGCTCGTCGACGCGTCCGCCGATTTCCATGCGAATCGATCCCCTGGGGGCGCCTTGATTACGCGGGGCTCTCCGCAATCAGGAAAATTGACATTAAATCGTTTCCGAACGCAATTGGGATCCGGAAATCCTGGGAAACTGATTTTCAGCCGCGCACCGTCCGCCGCTCGCCGCCACCGGCACGTGGCAAATCCGCGGTCGTCGAATTTCCCAGCGGCGCGACGCGGATCTCCCCGGGGCTCCGAAACCGTCCATTTCCCCCGAAGGGACGTCGCCGGCGTCGGTTCCGGGAGCGTCGTCGATGGACGTCGCTCCGAGTCGACGCTGGTCGGAGGAAAGCGTCCCAAGCCCGCCGCGCCGATCGCTCTCCGCGACTGGATTCGGAAAATTGCCGCGGCGCCCGGCCGCGGTTTTTCGCGCAAGCGTCGCGACGCTTCCCGATCGCGGCGCCCGCTCCGCTCCCGAGTGCGGCTCGTTTAACGGCCACCAAGAGTACACCTACGCGGCGATTAAGATGAAGTGAAACCCCCTTCATATCGGTCGATTCGAATACAACACTTTTTTTCAAGGGTATTAGACCAAACTGTCCGAAACTTTGACACGTCACTCCTGATCAGCTAAGAATTGTCCTAACACCTTCAAAATTTGGATTTTTGGAAACAATTTTTTAACTCAGCCCAGACCAAAACCAAAATGGGGTCGAGCTCTCATATTTCGATCAATGTACAGTTATCGAAGGCTCTGATATGAGAAACGAAAGGGTCAGGATAATCTTACGACAATTTAGAACACTCTGGTAGTCGATAAACTCGCATTTGAACGGGATAAAGGCGAAAAAAGTGTTTTATGCGCTTCTATGCCAAAACGATGGGAATACGAGGTCTCGGAGTGAAAATTTAGTTGACCTGGAAATCACAGATGGCGCAGGGGGTCCCCCTGCAGCCAATTAGGGCCCCAGAAAGCATGAATCCAGAGGATTTCTGGAGTTTTGCTTCGATTTCTTTATAATTATTGTACGAAAACGACAGGTGGAGTATGCCATTTAGGACAATACCGAATATAATTCGACACAGCTGTCAATATAAAAATGAACGTCGGGAACGTAGGCATTTAGAAAAATCTCCTGTACCGACGTCGATCAAGTTCCTCGACGTGTTTCACTTCACCTTAAGCTTGGGTTGAGGTATTCTCGCTCACAGGAGCTCCCGCTAAACGAGAGGAAAAATTGTTAAGCTCCCTTGGGAGGGGATGAAGAATCTGTTAAACAGGCGGGAGAATTGAAAACTCCACTTTGACCCTTTGGAAATGAAGATCATTTCGGAAGAGAAACGCGAAAAACAATTCAAGATCCGTAATCGAGTTAAGCGCCATGTACATGGATTTTTGCTCGCAAGCAAAGAATCCGTTAAACAAGCGGGAGAATTGAAAATTGCACTTTGGTCCTCCGGAAACGGAGAGCTTCTCACACGGGAAATTTGTTATCGAGTTAAGCGCTATGTACATGGATTTTTGCTCGCAAGCAAAGAATTCGTTAAACAAGCGGAATAGTTGAAAATTTCTCTTTGGTCCTTCGGAAACGGATAGCTTCTCACAGGGGAAATTCTAAGGAAACTCGAGATTTGTTATCGAGTCAAGCGTACGTGAATCTTCGCTGGCAGACGAAGAATCCGTTAAACGGGCGAACGAGTTGGGAATTCCCGCGGGGTTCACCGGAAACGAAGGACTCCTTTTAGGAGAAACGCGGGATTCGTTTTCGAGTATACGTGGATTTTCGCTCGAAGGTGAAGAATCCGTTAAACGAGCGAAAGTATTGAAAATTCCTCTTTAGCTCCTTGGAAATGAAGATCATTTTGCAGGGAAGAGGTGAAACAAAAATTCGAGACACGTTAACGTGTCAATGTACGTAAATTTTCATTCGTAGGTGAATCCGTTAAACGAGCGGAAATATTGAAAATTCCTTTTTGGCTCTTTAGAAATGAAAATCATTTCGCAGGGGAATCGCAAAAAAAAATTGAGATTCGTTATCGAGTCAAGCGCCGTGTACGTGGATTATTATTCGCAGGTGAATCCATTAAACGAGCGGAAGTATTGAAAATTCCTTTTTGGCCCTTTGGAAATGAAGATCATTTCGCAGGAGAAATGCGAAAAAAAAATTCAAGATTCGTAATTGAGAGTTAAGCACCATGTACGTGGATTTTTGCTCGGAGGCAAAGAATCCCTTAAACGAGCGGAAGAGTCGGGGATTCCCACGAGGTTCTGCGGAAATGGAGAGCATCTCGTAGAGGAAACGCGAGACCCGTTAGCGTGTTAAGGTGAAGTGTAACACGTCTAGGAACTTGATCGACGTCGATAAAGAAGATTTTTCTAAATGCCTACGTTGCCTACGTTCGTTTCTAGATCGACAGCTGTGTCGAATTATATTGGATATTGTACCAAATGGCATACTCCACCTGTCGGTTTCGTACAATAAATATCAAGAAATCGAAGTAAAACTCCAGAAATCCTCTGGATTCATGCTTTCTGGGGCCCTAATTGACTGCAGAGAAACCCCCTGTGCCATCTGTAATTTCCAGGTGAATTAAATTTTCACTCCGAGACCTTGTATTCCCATCGTTTCAACACAGAAGCGCATACAACACTTTTTTTGCCTTTATCCCGTTCAAATGCGAGTTTATCGATTACCAGAGTGTTCTAAATTGTTGTCAAATTGTCCTGACCCTATCATTTCTCATATCAGAGCCTTCGATAATTGTACATTGATCGAAATATGAGAGCTCGACGCCATTTTGATTCTGGTCTGGGCTGAGTTAAAAAGTTTTGTTAAAAAATCCAAATTTTGAATGTGTCAGGGCAATTCTTAGATGATCAGAAGTGACGTGTCAAAGTTTCGGACAGTTTGGTCTAATACCCTTAAGAAAAAGTGTTGTATTCGAATCGACTGATTTAAAGGGGGTTTCACTTCACCTTAACGCGCTAATGGAGCCCGCGTTTCCGGAGGACCTCGGGGCGCATCTCGACTCTTCCGGTCGTTTAACGATTTCCCCGTTGCCGAGAATACACCTGCGAGGGGCTCAGCGCGCTGCCGAAGCTCTCTTGAGGCCCTCTCTTCCCTCCGTGCTGTAGTTTCTCCGAATCGACGCGAGCGGAGCCCTCGCGCCAAATAAACGGCTCGTCGCGACGCCTCGAGGAAAATCCAGGCCACCGGGACGCGGATTATCCCGGAAGTGTCGACCTCTTGCAAAACGATTTACTCGAACCGGCCGTTTTAAATAAACCTTGCGCAAGGATGCGCCTTTTCCCATTCGCGTAACTCCGTCAAAGTCTCTCATAGAGTTCGAAGATTCCCAATAGCGTAAAATTGCAGAAGGTAACCGTGAAACGTCCCACAAGGTACCGTGAATATCGAGAATTTACGAGAACCTTCATTATGTTATTTATACTTTAGGCTTCCTCGTTTAAGGCGAAGTGAAACCCCCTTCAAAACTGTCGATTCAAATACAACACTTTTATTGAAGGGTATTGGACCAAACTGTCCGAAACTTTGACACATCACTCCTGATCATCTAAGAATTGTCCTGACACATTCAAAATTTGGATTTTTTAACAAAACTTTTTAACTCAGCCCAGACCAGAACCAAAATGGCGTCGAGCTCTCATATTTCGATTAATGTACAATTATCGAATGCTCCGACGTCAGAAACGAAAGGCTCAGGACAATTTTACGACAATTTAGAACACTCTGGTAATAGATAAACTCGCATTTGAACGGGATAAAGGCAAAAAAAGTGTTGTATGCGCTTGTATGCCAAAACGATGGGAATACAACGTCTCGGAGTGAAGATTTAATTGACCTGGAAATCACAGATGGCGCAAGGTGTCCCTCTTCAGCCAATTAGGGCCCCAGAAAGCATGAATCCAGAGGATTTCTGGAGTGTTACTTTGATTCCTTCATAATTATTATACGAAAACGACAGGTGGACTATGCCATTTAATGCATTACCTAATATAATTCGACCCAGCTGTCAATATAAAAACGAACGTCGGCAACGAAGATATTTAGAAAAATCTTTATCGACGTCGATCAAGTTCCTCGACGTGTTTCACTTCACCTTAAATATCATATCTTTTCTTCTTTAAACTCCGAGCTAAAGGGTAACGAATACAATTAGAAAATATCGATCATACGGTGTTATTTACTTCCAGCTAATATCATTCATGTGTGTTGAACTTCCCGTGAAATTTTCAATTCATCCGCTCCGTCGTGATTTTAATTCTCCCAATTTCTCGATAAGAAGAAGAGCTGTGGAAAAATGACCGACAAGTTGCCGGGAACTTCCCATTGTTCCCGACGTAACTTCCCTCGTTTAGGGCTCTAAATTCTCGTGTCCACGTGCAAGTAAAACCTGCGAGAGCTGCTCTTGGACAATTCCCGCCATATTGTACACAGTTTTGGAAGTGAGGCTGCGCAAATAAATTAACATATAAAATGTCCCCGGGAATTCAAGCTTCTCTGGGAAGATATATGTGCCCATAATTATGAAAGTGGTCTAAGTCAAAATTTAAAAAAAAATGAATTTATCAGTTATTTCACGCCATATTATTTCAAACGAAATTAATNCTACGAAAAATATTTAAAAAACCGATTTTTCGCTAAACTTTGGGGGGTTGTTTCACCCCTTAAATGTGGACTATTGCAGATATAAAAAAACACGTGTCTCTCAGATTTTTGTGTTCTTCAACATATATGAAACTCAATAAGATCGGAGGCGGACACTTGGGAATGTTTCCTTGTTAGACCACTTTCATAATTATGGGCACATATCGCGATTTACTCCCACGTGGACGACGAGCCATAACGAATAACGAAAAAGAGGACGTGGGTTAAATGACGAGACTCTTCGTGGATGGAATCGTTCTCTAAATTATGGTCGTTCGTCTCTTTAACACAGTTCACCGTCTTTTTACACCTACGTATGTACAGCGCTCCGAGCTACTATTATAAAATACAATTGTTAATGTTATTAGTCGGTCGTCGGTAATCGTAATCGCCGTTATAACTAACGCAACGCCATGCCTCCTCGTGTAACGCCGACGTTTGCAATTCTGCAAACTCTAACTTATTAATGTACAGGTCGTATATCTCCGGGACTACATCGTGTACCTAAGCGCGTATACGCCCCCGCGCTTATGTCGAAACTCGATATACATACATATGTGTGTATACATATATATATACATAGTTCTTTTTCTTTTAACAAATAGGAGATATACATATAAAACGTCAGGAGACTTTTTATCACGGTCGCGCACGCGCAGGACTTCTTCTAGGGACGATCATAGAAGTAGCAAACGCGCGTTGCGGCATTTCCGCGGGATTTCCGCGTACCCCTAATTACGCGTACTCCCCATTACTTTCTCTCTTTTTCACATTTTTACGCGCACCCATTCACCCGCCCTCGATCCGCATATACATGTATATGTATATACAGATATAATTTCCTTTTTCTTCATATCCACCGCGACGTATAATACACAGAGCTATGTCACGAAAACCGTTTTTCCTTTTTTCCCTTTATTTCCTTCTCTTTAGTCATTCGAACACGTTATACCGCGTGGTGCGAAGAAAAAGATCGACGATTTGTACTTGACTGAGCGGTACGAAAATAAACGCGTATGCCATTTAAGCCGAGTTAATATAAAATCGCAGAAGAGGAGAGAGAGAGAGCAAGGCAAATGCGACGGTCCAAGATATGGCTCTTTGAGAATCTTGTTGAATTAAAAAAAAGAAAGGCCCCTCCGGGATGACAAAGAAGGTCCACGGTTGATATTCGTAAAAAGTTTAACGCTAAAAGCAGAGACCAAGAGAGTCCGTACGCCTCTGGGATTGGTAAAGCGTTTAACCAGAGCTGGAAACGCTACCGCGTGAGTTTGCTCGCATTTTGTTTAACACTAAACGTACCAAGCAATGTCAAATGACCCCTTTCAAAATTTACTTTAAAATCGTTCATTTATTATTTTTTTTGCTCGCTTAAAAATGATAATATATGTCTGAATATTTTATTAGAAATCATAAGTTACGTCGCAAATTAGTTTCTTTAATAAATTAAGAATTTCTTTCTAAAAATCAACGTTTATTTCATAAGGGGTCAAATGACCTCTTTCAAAATTTACTTTAAAATCGTTCATTCATTGTTATTTTTTTTGCTCGCTTAAAGATGAAAATATATATGTCTGAATATTTTATTAGAAATCATAAGTTACGTCGCGAATTAGTTGCTTGAATAAATTAAGAATTTCTTTCTAAAAATCAACATTTATTTCATAAGGGATCAAATGACCCCTCATGGTAAGAATAGGTATGTGTAAAGTACCAGTACGTTTAGTGTTAACGTCTCAGATCGAACACGTCGTAATTGAGACCGCACTGATAAAAATCGACGGGAATTTGCACAGATTCTTTTACACACTTTGTAACTTAAGCTTCGCCTAGAACAATGTCACACTGGAAGAATTACATATTGGAAAATGTATAAATACACATAACAATGTATATACACCGTATTGGTGCATTTTTTTCTTTCTTTCTTGAATTTAACGTAACGTTACGTTATAGTTTTTCTGTCATATTTAACTGGGACGCTGAATGTGACGTTACGGAGACTGCAATTTATAGTGGCATCGGAATAACGTAAATATACATAGGCATTTTTATCAGTGCACGCTCGTTCGAGTATATTCGATATGTAAAATAAGATAGATCTCGGAAGAAAGCACCACGCCATCCAAGATTCCGAAATCGTAACGCGTGAACATCGTGGTGAACTACGCAAGCGGTCGTGTCACTTAATTAAATTCGCTCACTAACGGGGAGATAACTCGTTCTCTGGTAATCGAACGGAGGACATAGTTTCTTATGACAGTTTTATCAGTCGGTGTCTCGTCGATTCGATGCGATCTATTGCGCAATTCTTACGCCCGGACACGGTGGAAAACTTACGACGCAATTCGGACAACTAAGCTACGACGGCAAACGAATGAGAGGTTAGAAATTCGATGCACCGGATGTTCTCTCGCCGGGGGGAAAGAAAGAAAAAAGAAAAAAAAAAGAAAAAAAGGGTTAACTCGCCGTGGAGCGTGCAATCTTAAATCGAACGACTGCATTAAAACTTGACCTTAAGTGAACGGTAATCACAATTCGTGTGGTAATCACACTCGAGGCTCGTAGCGGTTTTACGTAGCAGCCTATCTCGGTTTTGATTCGAAGGATACCTTCCGTCCACTAGGACTCGTAATTACAATTAACCGGAACAAAGTGTGTATAACTTTTGCTGCCCTCGGTGTTCTTCTATTATTATGCAACAAATACACGTAGACGTAAAAGTAACTTTACAATTATTTGTACTATACAGTAGATAGGCGTACATGAGCAGTGCAACGGCTGCTACGTACATGATATTTTATATATATTTATCTATATATATGGTTTTTGTTTCAAATTATAGAACATCGCCATCGAAAGATCATTGACTGTTTCTTTGTTAGAAAAGTTTTGAGTTAAAAGCCATTACGTGACTCGCATAATCTTGCGACTTGCCTTTACATTTCACGCAATACTGTGGTTCTCGATAACGTGATGTATATTTGTGGAAATTGAAATTAAGCAATTTATCACACAGCAAGACTAAACTGGTTCACAACTTAAAACTCACACGTGGAAAATGTTCTCAAGTAAGATCTCTTTTGGCTAAAACGGCAATGCATCGAAGTGCATCTGTGAGATCAACTGTTTTCGTTTTACATTAGAAATAATTACGCGTGAGAAATTAAATATCATAAGGTCCGTTTATCAAGACACAGCGAGTCAGTGTCGCGAGACCTCGAATGTCGAGAATGGTATTTCTGCATTTAGTGCATCAAACTTAGTCTTAACGATGAACTTGACTTCTCTCGCTCTGTACACATTTGTTTAAAAATCCATTCGCACACAGGTAGACTAAATGGAAAGCGTTTCTTTTATCAATTTTTTCATAGTATTTCCCATTGTGGTGCTCGAAGGTCCTGAAGTCGTGAAAGATAATTTAAAGAGATAAGGCTGAATATCGGGATACGAGGTGTCAAAAATCAAGTCTAACTCGGTTTGGTTAGGCATTTTGGGGAGATAATCGTGCCGATTCATGACTTCAGTTATGTACAGAATCTTATCGGTCAGTAAATCCCCTACTTTTTCTCTGCATATTTGACGCTCGTGTTCGGTTGCAAGTTTGATCAGTTCCAGGCGTACGGTCCAAACTTCCCATGGGATACATTCGGGCTGAAACGGCCAGCGATTCTTTTTCTTTTGAAAGAACTCCAAGGAGATCTGACCTGATCCAGGACTATCCGTGGAGCGCAGTGCCTCCGAAAAGCCCGAAATCTCTTGCTTCAGCGTACGATCCAAATGAATCGAAGAGCAGCAGACGTAAGTGAAATCGATGAAATCACAGTCGACGTCTTGATATCCGACGGTTCCTACCGAGTAGCTACCTTCCTGTTTGTACCTGAACTTGCCAAGGCTCCGATGAAAGAGGACGCTGTGAAAAATACTTGCTACTGCCTCGTCCACTTGCCGACCCTCCATGCTGAGTTCGAATAATTGTGTTCTGGCATTCATGATAAATCCTGGAATAAAGTATCGATACAGTCCTCCCGTTCTCTCTCGTCGACTTAGCATAGCCTATGACGAAACATCCACCGAAACCTGCGGAGTCACTCGACCAGTACGCTTACTTTTTCAAGACCCTCCGAACACCTCCACCCTCGTTATAACGCGATTCCCACCTAGTCTTCAAGGACCACTCAACGTGCAGAAGAGTGCAAACGTCATTCGAAGCATAACTATATACCAAGGTCCGCGTACGCTATAACCTTCGCCCCGCGCTTTTTCCTTTACGTAACTGTCGCCGAAAAAAGATCGTGATTTCGAAGGGATAAAAATCGTGCGCCTTTCCAGACCGAAAAGAAGAACCGACGCCAGCTTACCGTTCCGTTAGCCGTAGTCGGTGGCTTCTTCCGTATAATTTATTCCTTCGTCACGCCAGGCGAACACTCTCGGGTTAATTCGCAACGTCCGTCATCGCCGACCCACCGAGCGTTGCGGCCGTTTTCCCCATAGGATAATCCGGGACTCGGCCGATTCCCGTCCGACCTCTTCCCGACGACCTCCAGCTTGCTTCCGCCTGCTTCCGCTTGCCAGTCCTCGTTTTCACACGCTCGCTTATGCGCTCTTAATTTTCCACCGACTTCCCATCCTCCCGCGCGTCCGACGTGGGCCAACTCTCGGCGAGCGAGCGCGAGGATCTACGCGTCCCGACGCACTGCCTTGCGAGCGCGCATTTGTAGGTAAACAACAGCTGTGCGCGCCGTGCACGCCATTTTGTACCGCTTCCCCGCAACCAACATCCGCGGGCAACCGACGACCCCCGATGACGACGGCGACGACGATGACGGCAACGCTGGCGACCGAGTTAACGGGTCTCGCGCCCTCATTCGCAATCGCCTAATCCTGCGAAAAACCAATCAACCTTCGAATAAATAAATGACAATCACTAGGTGGTCACGTGATCGCCATCAATCGACGCCACACAGATGACTGGAGCCTCAGCTGATGCACCGCGCGCGTGTGCGAACGGATCTAAGGAAAGGGAGCCTCGTGACATCTCGCGGGAAATCGAGGAACTACACCTGACGACTTACCGATCAATTTTCTCTCAACTGAGTGACCTGCCTCGAGCTTCACCACCGCCATCTACTGGAAGTAAGTCAAAACCGGTCCGCGTTTACCATGGATAGACTCCTTGTTCTACCCCAAGTATGCATGCATGCGCATACGCATGGATAAGAATAAGGGGAGAATTTTACCCCATAGGCGATCCAAGGAAAAGTGTGCTCCGAGCGCGCGCTTGCCCTTATATACGCTCAGCTGCGCTCGGCGCAGGCAAACTGCGCATGTCAGAGATATCGCTCCAAAAATTTTATTTTCATATTTTTAGGTCCTTTATCACATCTGACGTCTTAATCTTTTAATTGTTGTACCTTATGAGTATTTTTCCTCTAATTTTGAATATAATACGGTATGGTAAGAATTCATGTATCGGTTGATAATGTCGATCGAAACTGAGTTCACATATATTATGTACTGTTTATGAACCCAATGTGCTTCCCTTCTTCAAGGACCCGGTTGACTGAAATTTGTGCTTGGTAGTTGTTAATAATCTTGTATAAAGCAAGAAAATATAATATGGCTTTAAGACGTGTCGTTGTTGGTTAGTATGAAATTAAATTTTTATTTAAAGGTAGCAGACTCTACTGTAAATGCTAGCTAATCATTGTTAAAATTAGGTTATGTACTGCCTCAGGGGGTGGTACCGGTTTCATTGGGTCAAGTCTGGTCAGGGCGCTCAGATCTGCAGGTGCTCGTGTCCTAATTGTCTGTCGAGAACCCGAGCAAGAAAACGAAATCTCTTGGGTAAATATTACTTAAAGTTTACATTGTTTACCAGTATTCCGTATATACATAAAATATTAGCCTATAAACATACTATAAAAACCTGTGAAAATAAATGTACGAAATTAATTTCACTTGAATAGGAAGACGTAAAACGGTCTGGCTTACCTGCAGATATATCAGGTGTAATTAATGTTGCTGGTCAAAATGTTCTCGATCCACTGAAAAGGTGGTCTCCAAAGTTTAAGGAAGAAGTCTGGGATAGTCGAGTACAAACTACGAAAATATTAGCATCAGCAATTGTTAAAACAAATGCTGAAGTATTTACTACCATTTCTGGTGTCGCTTACTATAAACCTAGCGATAAAATATACACGGAAAATACCAAGTGCGAGAAATATGATTTTTTGTCAGGTTGTATCAAAATAGTTAATAAAAATTCATTCAAATTTATGTTAATGTAATAAATTAATGATGGATATAATTTAATAATTGTATTTTCATCCTTTTAGAACTCTGTCATGAATGGGAAGCAGCGGCAAAGTTACCCATAAACTGTAACATTCGACAAGTTGTTATAAGGTCGGGAGTTGTACTAGGACGAACTGGTGGCATGATCAAACAAATATTCTATCCCTTCTATTTAGGTATGGGTGGTCCTATTGGTAGTGGTGAACAGTACATGCCATGGATACACATAAATGATTTATGCAATTTATTTATACATGTACTAATAAGATCAAACGTGTCGGGTGTATTGAATGGAGTAGCACCTCAGGTTTGAAAGTAATACAGTCTACTTCTTATGACTTATTTTACATGAAATTTACTTCATAATTATTATTTTTTATTAGATTATAACTAATGAGCAGTTCACAAAAGCATTCGCTGCCGCTCTTCATAGACCAGCTTTGATACCAGTACCGATTCCAATCCTGTCACTCATATTTCACCCAGAACGAGCAAAGGTATATAAAAAGTTGATCACTGTAAGTACGCAGTTAAATTATTTTAATCTCTAATATTTACACAGATCATGACGGAAGGTCAAAAAGTTGTACCAAAACGAGTTTTGGAGACTGGATTTCAGTATGAGTATAGCACTATTGTTAGTGCTTGCAAAAAATTTAACAAATTATTTTATATAGACGAGCTTATGTGAAGCTCGATGCTCGATGCACTAGTCTGAACAAAACTGTTGTATAGTTGGTACGTGTATAACTTTATAGAGTCATTAAACATATTTGATTAAGTCAAACATTGATACGTATGTACAAATACATGACTTATTTATTCACATTTTCGTGTAGAACTAGCTACAAAAAAAATATTACACCGAGTGATACCCCTTTTTAAAGTTGATCCTTTGATATGGATACTGATGTTTGTAAGAATAAAAGCTTGGAGTACTCAGTCGTCTCAGTAGAATTTTGATTGACATTTGTTCCAAGTGGTCGACATTTAGCAGTATATTTGTTTGCGACATAATATCTAAATACCATTTCTTCGGTGAGGAATCTACGGATTCACTTTCAGAGACAGATACTTTAGCCGGTCGTTCGTCATGTTTTTCAATTTCGTAGACACTTAAAAAGTGATTGATTTTTTTCTTTAGAGTTTGTACCTCGTCATAGGTCAATCCGTAGGTACTGAGGAAAGCTACCTTTCCACTTCGGTGGAGAAGAAAGAGTCCTAAATTCATCGTAGCTCCGACATGCCGTATATCATTCAATTTCATGACCCTTAAAAAACTTACTGGTATACAGGAATATATTTTGTTCAACCAAGTACACCTAGATATAATAGCTTCATTTCTTTCCATATCTAAAATCATATCTTCCCATTCGCCTAATGCATCCAAACCGAACATGACTTCAATCGCTGTTAATGCTGCTAACACGAAAGGATTCCTTGTTACGTTTGAAAGTACTGAGATAAAAACGATTACGGTTACTGAAATACAAATATAATTCATATGAACGATTTGAGTTAGATGCGCCGATTCTCAGCATTGCTGCGGATTTCTGTTACAAAGTTATCATTTTATGTAACGTAGTCGTGGCTTACAGGAAAATAGAAACCATGCAAGAAATCCCGGCCTTCGGCAAAGGTGCAATACTTTTTTCTTGTCAATCTTCAGATAGGGTTTCCCCGTTAAAATCATTTTTACGCGGGAAATTTTTTAGAAATTTCTTACAATTAGGAAGTAAACGGCGGACATTCCATGGCTTCTCAAATGACGCTCGGAAAACATCGGCAGTTATTTTTTACGCCATAATTGTTGACCTCTCTTTGGTAGGGTTGGGTAAGTATAATACGTCAACTAATATACGTGGTTTTCTACACGTATATTACAACGTATAATACGCCCCTAGTTTTTTACGCAGGCACGAAGTATATTACCCCAAACTAAACGTGCAAAGAGCATGCGCAATATCGTCAATAGCCAATGAGAGCCCGCCTATTTACCTCTAAGTGAGATTCTCATTGGCTATTAAGGGGATTGTGCTTTACGTCTCCACAAATCCGTGCACATTCGAAATCAACCTTGGAATTTTGAAATGTATGCATATCAGAGACGAGTTGGGAGATTGCTCACGGGCAGGGTCGCGCGATCGCTCCGTGTGCTGTTCTCTGATTTCGTACGTTAGCTTTCACCGTTTTTTGCCCCCAAGGGCGGCGCAACGAATTTCTGGTAGGGGCTCGCGCACTCGCGATGGCTGTGCCATCTACCAGTTGCCGTTGGCGGCTCACGTATTCGTGATGGTAATACCATGCGGCAGTTGACGGTGGTGGCTTACCATTATGGCAATCTCCTAACTCATCTCTGCCAAATCAGAGATG